GGTGGGGCAGTTCCTGCCCAGGGGTTGCTTAAGAAGCCATCACCAGGTAAAACTGACGTGTTCCGGGTGACATGTCATGTGGAAACTGAGTGCAGAAGGGACATGCTGATCCGGTTGGACCACACATTTGATAAAGTAAAATTAACTTTACTTTCTTTAAGATAACCTTACTTTCATCCTTTACTTTGTTCTTTATTTGCCAAAACTTAAGCTAAAGTGCCCGTAAAATTGTTTAGTTGTAACATCAGAACTGACGTTTTACTGTTCTATATAAGCAATCTGAGTTGATGTGAATTAAAATTCGGACGTGAGTTTTTATCTAATTTAACTTTGACACTTGCTATAGGAATAATATGATTTGTTCAATTTGTGCAAATAAATGATTGCACAGTCTTTTATGAATCAACTTGAACTCGTCTGAACGTTCACTTATTGTGTCACTTTTCCCTTCGCACAGTCAAGATATTAAAAGAAATAAGAAAATACCTTGGTAAAAATTTCCTCATAACTTTGTGTATGAGAGATGTAGGAAAAGCTTAATTCACCTTAAGCCTCCTCCCCCTACATACTCAACCACAAAATATCACCCCAAACCAAACTAACCCTGCAACCCCGTCACAGGGCAGGCAGTTGTTCGTTTGTGGAGTGTCACAAGCTGTGGAGGCCTTATCAAAGGCAAATGCTCCAGGTTATTTCCGACATGTAGAAATGTTGGAGATTGATGATCTAAATGACCAATTAAAAATAATTTCAGAGGAGGTTGAGAATAAAAGAGAAACCAAGAGCTAACACTGAACATTTAGCTAAAATGGCATGCTTACTTAGAGTGAGACTGGGTCGCTAAATTACGGTCGTGCGACAGCTTCAAAAACGGCTACTAGCTGAAAGAGCAGCCAAGGAGACAAAATCAGATGAAAGCCACGTCGTAACCACTGATTCTGAGAAAATCAAACAGTTACGCGAGGAGAACTCGAGACTCCGAGAGCGAGTTTTACATGAAATACAAGAAAAAGAAAGCCTTAAATCTGATTTAGATGTAGCTGCAAGTGCACTCAATCAAGCCAATATTGAGCTTGAAAACCAAAAAAATTATCCCCTTAAAACAACTGGACCTAAATGTGATCCAGAATGAACTTCAACAAGAAAAAGATAAGAATAAACAGAAAAGAGTAATTCTCAGTCAGGAGCGAGAGACTCATGCAGAATTTCATAAAATTATTCAGGAGTACACAGAAGCTTTGGAGCACAACATACCACTGTTGAGTGGCCAGCAGGCACAGACAGGTGGGCTCCAAGCTACAAGCACACCCGATCAAAAAGTTCCCTGACTGATCGGAGGTGGGACAGTTCCTACCCAGGGGTTGCTTAAGAAGCCATCATCAGGTAAAACTGACGTGTTCCGGGTGACGTGTCATGTCGAAACTGAGTGCAGAAGGGACGTGCTAATCCGGTTGGACCACACATTTGATAAAGTAAAATTAGTATAATACTCACCTTACTTTCATCCATACAAATACAGTACAGGTTTTTCTTATATTTGATCAAATTTTGAATATTTTGGCTTCGGGCAGGTAACATTTTATGTTGGGCAGGTAACATTTTTCGTCACCTGCCCAATAGCAGGTAAAAAAAAATGTTGTTGAACTCTGCTGGAGAGAACTGACAGAGAGGAAATAAAAATGACTCAGCCTGCAACTGAAAATATGGATGGAGGACCTCAGTTTAGCTTGTTAGTTTGTCACGCTAGCGCCAAGTTAATACACAAGGCAGTGGTGTCCAAAGTCAGTCCTCAAGGGCCGGTGTCCTTCATGTTTTAGGTGCTGCCCTGGTTCAACACAGCTGAACCTAATGAGTGCTTAATTAATGGGATTCTGCAGACCTTGATGGCAAACTGAGAAGGTAAATCATCTATTTGAATCAGCTGTGTTGAAGCAGGGACAAATCTACAACTTGCAGGAGACTAGCCCTTGAGGACCGGAGTTGGACAAGCCTGACATAAGGCAGTATAGCCTTGGTGCTAAAGCTAAAAGGCTAAGCTGAGGTTCTTCTTCCATGAAGCAGCTCTGTTGTCCTCCATCCACATTTTCAGCTACAGGCTGAGTCATTTCTACTTCCTCTCTGTCAACGCTCTCTGGTTTCATTTAAAAAAGCCGATCGTCACATAGGATTAACCTTCAGGGTGGATATAGCTAGCAGCCTCACACCGAGGACCTATGGACGTCATAATTTACCCAGCATGCTTAGCGTGTAAATAAAATGGCTCAGTCCATGTTAAAATATATTTTAAAAAGTTTACAAAACTGAACAGCCTACAGTATTTTTATAGTTTTTATTTTACAGTTAAAATGTATCTTTATCAAATAAAGCCTAATGTTACAGCGGGTAAAATAAGTATTGAACACGTCACTATTTTTCTCAGTAAATATTTTACTAGAGGTGCTAATGACAAGAAATTTTCACCAGATGTTGGTAACAACCCAAGTGATCCATACATACAAAGAAATCAAACCATAAATGTCCAGAAATGAAGTTATTTGTAATAATGTGGAATGGCACAGGGAAAAAGTATCAAATCTATTTTGTAATTCCAAAGTAAAAATAT